TACCTATGTGTACTAAATGGTACTAAATTTGGTAAAGATTAAATTTTGGGAGAATCTGTAGAGTTAAATGCTGAAATTTTAGAAATAAGATTAATATGCATTGTAGGACTGTGGTATGTATCTAATTTTGGAAATTCATACTTATGTGTACTAAATGGTACTAGGTTTTGGTACAGTTAAAATTCTGGGTGAACCGGTAGCGTTGGAATTCTAAAATTTGACAATAATATTTCTATTGGACTGTATGTTGTAGGAAATTTGTACTAAAGTGTATTAAATAGTACAAAATTAGGTATAATTTGGATTTGGGTGAACCAATAGAGCTGGTATTCTGAAAAATGGAAATAAGATTACTGTTGGACTGTAAGGTTGGGAAATTTAGGTAGTTTTGGAAATTTGTACTTATATGTACTAAAATGTACTAAATAAAGAACAATTTGTATTTGAGCGAACCAACAGTGGTGGAATTCAAAAAATTTGAATCGGGATTACTGTGGGAGTGTAGGACTGTGGTATGTAAGAAGCATTGGAAATTAGTACTTATATGTACTAAATGGTTCTAAATTTGGTACAAATTGGAATTATGTTAATCCGATGGAGCTGGAATTCTGAAATTTAGAATGAGAATCACTGATATAGTACAGGATAGATGCACCAAAGGGCTATTGAAAATTTGAACTTTAAATTTAGGAAATGTTCTAATATGTTACTAAACTTCTAAAATGGTACCATTTGGTATAATGTGAACGAATAAAGCAAAATTTTGTATGGCAATTAAGGTTGGAAAGTAAGTTTGAAAATGTGTACTACAAGTGCAAGAGAAGTACTAAATAGTAGTATACTTGGTACAATTTGGTATTGGGCGAACATACAGAGCCTGAAATTTTTGAAATTTGATATTGGGGTCGCTTTTCATGTGTAGCCTAGACATATGGAGGTGAATTCGGAAATGTTTACTATAACTGTACGAAAAGTACTGAATGGTATTGGTAAAGGGATAGAGGTAAAACTCCGAAATGTAGATTACTTATGGTATCTGTGTTTGAGATACGGCTATGGTTTGGAAATGCGTCCCATAGTTGTATGAAAAGTACTAAATAGTACAAAATATTGTACTGGGTGAATATATCAGATATCAAATGTGATAACCTCAATATCACATTCTGTTGGTATCTGGAATTGAGATATGCACGCGGTTTTGGAAATGTGTTTTGGACATGCGTACTAAGTGTTACTAAATTTGGAGTTTGGTGAAGGGATATATCTGAAATTCTGAAATTCGATATTGAGGTCACTGTTGTTTTCTAGGGTTCACATATGGAGTCATTGAAATAGTTTTGGATGGGGGCCATTGTGCAATGGTTTTATTAAATCCACCTCGGTAAACATTTTAATTTTCTGTCATAGGCTGTAGTATCCATTACGAAGTTCAAAAACCAAATTTGAAACAATTTCGGTGAATAATGTCGCCAAAATCATCAAATACCAAATATCGGGATGTCACGTTATATGGGGGCTATACGAAGACATGGACCTGTACAGACAATTTTCTGTTATAGGCTGTAGTATCCATTTCGAACTTCAAATACCAAATTTGAAACAATTTCGGTGAATAATGTCGCTAAAATCATCAAATACCGAATACCGTTATATGGGGGCTATACGAAGACGTGGACCTGCACAGACAATTTTCTGTCATAGGCTGTAATATTCATTACGAACTTCAAATACCAAATTTAAAACAATTCTGGTGAATAATGCCCCTAAAATCATCAAAATACCGAATATCGGGTGGAGCCGTTATATAGCCCCCACGTGGACCTATATGACCCATTTTCAATACCAAAAATCCTGAAGACATGGTATACATTTGACTAAAATGTTATCAATCTACTCCAATTCGTTCGGAAGCTAGAGTGATTTCCACAGACAGATAGACGGACAGACGGACGGACATTGCTAAATCGACATAGAATTTTATGCAGATCAAGAATATATATACCTTGTGGGGTCCGAAATGTATATTTCGTGGTGTTACAATCGGAATTACAAATTTAATACACCTTCCATACTATGGTGGAGGGTATAAAAACGAATAACACGAATTGTTGGAACGTATTTGAAATTTAACGAGGACAATCCGCTGACAAAGTAAAGTTTCTAATATACTGCAAGAAAATATCAACATCAATGTTCAGATATAGCTATAGCTCCCATATATATGTATCATTCGTTACAACCATGATATTTGGTACCAGGTATAAGATATTATATATATAAGCTCAGAACTACCCCTCGAGATCGGTTCAGGTTTGGATATAGCCTCCCCATATATTAATCCGACTCCACAGTTATTGTCTGTCATATATATAATGTCAGCCCAAATTGGATTTTTTGGATTGGATTCAAATTAGGTTCATAGCTGATATGATTTTGTTCCATATACCAAGAGATTATTAAGAATTAGCTACTAGCTACCAATTCCACACTTGTTACTGTGGCATGGGAATGTTAGGTAAAATGTTCTCTTGTGAGGCCTATAGTCTACGTTCTCATGAAAGTAGCATTTCATGAAAGTAGCATTTCTAAATGCCACCTCCTTGACTTATTCTATGTATATGGTACCAATAGCAAATAGGTCCAACCGATTAATCTGCACGAACCTGAGATCATCGGTTTTCAGTGAGAAAGTGAAAGATTTTCCAATTATTATGGATTTCCTAATGCCCCAACAAGCCTTTTACATTTTTCGAAGGCGCTATAACGGCTTCGAAATTTGAAATGCGCATGTTGTTGTTAATTGTCAAGTTTTTCCAAAATTTCCATAAAATTTTCTTTAACCATAAAACTATTTTTATACCCTCCGCCATAGTATGTAGGGTATATTAAGTTTGTCATTCCGTTTATAATACCTCGAAATTTACATTTTAGACCCCACGAAGTATGGATATTCTTGATCAGCATAAATACTATGTCGATGTCCATCCGTCTGTGGAAATCACTCTAGCTTCCCAACGAATTGAAGTAGGTTAATAAAATTTTACTCAAATGTATATTATGTCTGCAGGACTTTTGGTATTGAAAATGAGGTCCACGTTTTGGTATAGCCCCCATATAACGGTACCTCCCGATATTCGGTATTTTGATGGTTTTAGCGACATTATTCACTGGAATTGTTTCAAAATTTGCTATTTGAAGTTTGAAATGAATACTACAGCATATGACATAAAATTGTCTATGCAGGTCCACGTCTTCGTATAGCCCCAATATAACGGTTCCTCCCGATATTCGATATTTTGATAATTTTAGCGATATTTTTTCAACGGAGTTGTTTCAAATTTGGTATTTAAAGTTCGTAATGGATAATACAGCCTACGACAGAAAATTGTCTGTGCAGGTCCCCGTCTTCGTATAGCCCCCCATATAACGGTACTCCCCGATATTCGGTATTTTGGTGATTTTTGCGACAATATTAATCGGAATTGTTTCAAATTTGGTATTTGAAGTTCGTAATGAATGCTACGGCCTATGACAGAAAATTGTTTGTGCAGCTCCACGTCTTCGTATGGCCCTCATTTAACGGACCTCCCGATATTCGGTATTTTGATGATTTTAGCGACAATATTCTATATTCGTAATGGATACTACAGCCTACGACAGAAAATTGTCAGTGCAGGTTCATGTCTTCCCGATATTCGGTACTTTGTTGATTTTAGCGACATTATTCACCGGAATTCTCTCTAATTTGGTATTTGATGTTCGTAGCGGATACAGCCCATGACAGAAAATTGTCTGTGCAGGTCCACGTCTTCGTATAGCCTCCCGATACTCGGTATTTTGATGATCTTGGCGATAATTTTCACCGGAATTGTTTCAAATTTGGTATTTGAAGTTCGTAATGGATACTACAGTCAAAGACAGAAAATTGTCTGTGCAGATCCACGTCTTCGTATAGCCCCCATATAACGGTACCTCCCGATATTCGGTGTTTTGATGATTTTAGCTACATTATTACCGATTTTTTTTTAAATTTCGCATTTGAAAATTGTGATGGCTTATGACAAAAGTTACCTATGCCACCCATGTCATCGTATAGACCCTAATGAAACAGCTACATTCGTATTTTTAAAATTTTTACAGAATTTTTAACGGTTTTTATTGTTTTTGAGAATTGCCAAATTCTTTCCAAATTGTGGCCGGCCGAACATACAGCTTTTTTCCATTTTTTAAGAAACTAAATTGAGTTTGTTGGAAAGGAGGAGGTGAAATGATATAAATTCCAATTTTTCTTCGGCCCTCTCTCCCCTTTCTCTCCGGCAAACACATGTGAATTGCTACTTTTGTTAGATAATCTAATGTACATGCATGCTCTTTAAAAATAGATTTTAAATTCAATTAGAAGGCCCTAACTTTGAATTAATAAAATTTCTACTGTCACAAACTTATTCTGACATAAACATAAAATGCTAAGAAAAGTTTTGAAAATAACACGAACAATGACTGCACAAAAAAGCGTACCTAAATCTAATGGAATTAAAAGAACAAAACTTAAGTTAATCTTAAAATTGAACAAAACAATTTCACATTTCTTGACACAAGATAGCAAAAACTTGTATTAAGAAACGGGAGGAGGTAGAAGGTAAAATTGTTCAACATCAATGCCAAAGTTATTATCGTAATTCAATTAGTTGATGTCGTCCTTTTAATTGACAATGCTACGAATCTCCAGGGTAATTAATACAGAGCCCAAAGAACAACAAAAGTAGGAAAGTTGACTTGAAAAGTAAGGAAGGAACAAAACAGGTACGTGCCTACCTGCAAACAATCAAGCGGATGACATCCTGCCTTTGAAATGTGAGCCAAGGAAAACTAATTTAAGAAATTAAGAAATCTTATCTCTTTGCTTTCGGTTCACTTCGTATTCAGCAAAAATCTATTATTTTCTAATGCCATACTTCCACTATAATACCTTCTTCTCCTCTTCTCCTCTTTCTCCACAGAATGGCCGAGAATTCACGTAATTCGAAATTATCATCCAAAGACGATGAATGCACATTTTCATGGAAACTTTTTACTGGTTGGGATTTTATGATTGGTAAGTATGAATAGGAGAAGAATGAACAAACATGGCTCTGTACCACAGCAAAATGTTCAAGGATAATGCAAGTTTTTACATGCTTCCCCTACTAATATTTGCTTCTTTGCTCGGTCGCATTTTTTCAGGTCATGCGGAAACTGCACATAATCGTATTGCCTCTGTGGTAGTTGGTTTCAAGGAAGCCTTACTCGAGGAAGCCGAAAAGAAAAAGGATACACGAAAGTAAGTTTTTATGCGTCCGTTCGTTATCATAACTCATTTCAAATTTCCATTGTTTGAGAATAATATCTCTTTTTTCATTAATTTCCTTTTTTACTCTTTTTGTGTGTTATTCTCACATAATTGTTTAATTTAATTTCAGTTGGCGTATCATATTGCAGCGCATTGTTGTAAATATTTTGATAATTGCCTTGCTAGTTGCTTCCGGTGCTATTATCGTCTATTTGGTAAATAGGTGAGTGTATTTTAAATGAAACCTAGATTTTGAAATTAAAACTAAACGAAAACAAAATCAACATTTTGAAATCCGAAAAGAGGCCAAAAATCACTCTTGGTCCGTAGTGGTCAGATAAGGCTGGGTTTTTGGATATTCACACTACGAAAAATATTAAAAGGTACAAATTATGATATCCTTTGCATTTTAGGAAGCAGTAGAGCTAGAACTCTTAAATTTTGAATAAGGGTCGCTGATGGAGTGCATGATAAATGTACCAAAGCGTTTTTGGAAATTCGAAACAAAAATACTTAAATGTACTACATTTTGTACCATTTCGTATCATGTGAACGGTTAGAGGTAAAAACAAGTAAAGAAATTCCTAAAGTCGGGTGGGGCCGACTTTATAATACCCTACATCACTTTGCTGATTTAGTAGAGCTCTACATAACAATTTAATTTTTTAATGGGAGAATTCAGTCATACACGTTATGATTATAATTATAATTCTAAGTTCAAAGGACTAAATATGCCGAAGCATTTGTGTCTTTTAAATTCGGACTTGTATTGCTCATTTGGTGCAAAATTAATTTTAAATCAGATAAAGATATATATGGGAGCTATATCCAAATCTAAACCTATCAAATTTGGCAATGATATTTCTGAGCTGTATTTGATATATTTCCCTGAATAGCGTTGTGCATATTACGGCCGTGGGTAACAAATACAACAATTCGGATGAACAATAAATATGGGAACTATAGCTATATCTAAACCGATCTTCACCAAATTTAGCATACTAGCTTCTAGACTCAATTCGGTCGGATGTGCCAAATTCCTTCCCATTTGGGCAAATATTAGACGTTTGGTGCACAATAATCCAAATCTGAACCGATCTCGATAAAATTTAGCAAAGGTATTTCTGACCTGCATTTGATATATTTCCCCAAATATTGTTGTTAGATAGTGCATATTATGGCTGCGGAGGACTAAAATAATCATATAAACAATATATATGGGAGCTTTAGCTATATACTTTTGTTCAGGTCTAATATGGTTGTATGTGCAAAATTCCATACTATTCGGGCTGATATTACACGTTTGATGCACAATATACGGCAAATCGGACCAAGATATATATGGGAGCTATATCTAATTTTTTACCGATTATCTCCAATTTCAATAGGGTTCGTCCTTGGGCCAAACAAATGTTGTTTGGAAAGTTTCATCTCAATCGGATAATAAATGCGACCTGCATTTGGTTCACAAGAATACATGGACAGATGGACTGACATGCATAAATCAACTCAGAATGTGATTCTATGGAGATGAGAAGAAGATTAGATTTGGCATTGGGTGAAGTTATTGAGCTGGAATCCTGAAATTTGATAAAGATTAATAAAGTATCGGAAAATCATTAAACATCTCTTAATAGGGTAATAAATTAACCTTAACTGTTAGTCCAAATAAATTTTCGCGTGAGCCGCGTAAGAATTGAGGATTGGGGGTGCAAATGGGTGTCATCAGTCAAGATAATTTTTCGACAGAATTTTGGTTCATATTGATGAATTTGAAAGATATAATGAGAAAATACATGATTTCATAATGTCAATGTAATGACGTAAGTGGAATACAAAATTTGAATTGAATTAGAAGCGACCAGATCGAAACCGGCATCGCAGTAGCCGAAAAATGGCTCGTGAACTGAACATATCGAATATTCCATTCGCAAATATTGAAATATGAGCTCGGGGTAAAGCCATTGAAATTCCAAAAGGTGCAAGAACTTACATCGCAACAGAAAGAAAATAGACTCAAAAGAGCTAAAGAGTTGCTTCGCTTGGCCGAAAGTGGTGAACTGCCGAATTTGGTTTTCTCCGATGAGAAAACATTCGTTGTCCAGCAGTTTATAAACAAACAAAATGATCGTGTTTACTTGCCAAAGAGGTCAAATGAAAATGTGCACCTTCGGTTGGCCATCAGAACTCAAGCGCGGGTCATGGTGATGGTGTGGGCCGCCATTACAGCCGATGGTCGCTCTCCGCTCGTATTAATAAATAAATGCCGAATATTACAGCGAAAATATTCTGGAGGGTGTATTAAGGCCTTGGGCACGCAAATATTTTGGCCGCAGACCTTGGACATTCCAACAGGACTAATCACCATCGCAATGAGCACGCGCCACCCAAGAATAGGTACAAAATGAGGTTCCACGCTTCATTTCCAGCGCACAATGGCCACCAAAATCTCCGGATACCAATCCGTTGGACTATTGTGTCTGGAGTATTTTGGAAAGCAAGATTGGCACTAAAAAATACCAGTGTCGATCTCCTCAAGCAAGCGCTTCGCCGGGTGAAGGCCATAATTCGTGCCAAAGGTGACCAAATCGACCAAATCTAAACGTATTCTAAAATTTTATGCTATTTCCAACATTTTTTGCTTTCATTCATTAAAATTTAAAAAAAAAACAACGTTTGTTTATGAGTGGAGAACGATAGTAATGTTTACCAGGGGGTAAGGCAGGGAATACCTAGGTTTCGGAAAGAGCCACCAATCCTCATCAGTTCCCTTGTTTCTTGTCTGGGATATTCTCCCCAGAAGTTATTTAAAAAATAACTTCTATGACAAAAAACATTTTTTACCCAAGTGACGAGATCGTAAGCTCAATAGAAGAGGAACAAAAGAATTACATAAAACTAAAATTCTTTTGGAAAGTCTTCTAAATCTTACAACCGCACTTATAAACATTTACATCTTTCTCCACTTGTTATGCTTTCGTTCAACCTGAACGAAGTAACATAACCATGTAAGTTTGTTTTGTCTGTTACAACAAAAACCCCTTCGTCGACCGTGCCTGTGTCTATTAATAGAACAGTGTTTGGCTTGCTTGTTTGGGATACCATAGTATTTTGTTGTTGCAAAATAATTTTGCAAATAATACACAAAATAATTTTGCAACAAGACTTTTTTTTAAGATTTAGAAGACTTTCCAAAAGAATTTTAGTTTTATGTAATTCTTTTGTTCCTCTTCTATTGAGCTTACGATCTCGTCACTTGGGTAAAAAATGTTTTTTGTCATAGAAGTTATTTTTTAAATAACTTCTGGGGAGAATATCCCAGACAAGAAACAAGGGAACTGATGAGGATTGGTGGCTCTTTCCGAAACCTAGGTATTCCCTGCCTTACCCCCTGGTAAACATTACTATCGTTCTCCACTCATAAACAAACGTTGTTTTTATAAAAACAACAATAATGGGATTTTGCCTGACGATTTTGCAACAACAAAATACTATGGTATCCCAAACAAGCAAGCCAAACACTGTACTATTTAAAAAAAATTATGGCGTTTGACTTTAAATCTGAACCGATCTCGATAAAATTTTGCAAATATATTTCAGATATGTATTTGATATATTTCCCCGAATATCGTTGTTGCGGAATGCATATTATGGCTCTGTAGGGCAAATTTAACAAATCGGATAAACATGCATCTGAACCGATTTCTACCAAATTTGACATACTTCTTTCTAGGCTCAATTTGGTCGTATATTCCAAATTCCAGCCAGTTTGGACTACTCATTCGACCGAATATCTCCAAATTAAACTTTAGCAACTTAAGCAATAAAATAAAATTTAAAAATCTCACATTTACAGGGTTGCCCATATTCGACGGACCCATCTGGCAACGCCATAACTTTTGACAGAGATGTCACATCGCTTAATGACATACCGCGTTTGAAGCGTCAGTCCAAGCAGATTTTTACCATGAACCAATTCACGCCACGCGAGCGCTCTGAAATAGTTGAAATTTACATTCAACAGAAGAAGTCAATTGTGAAAACTCAACGTGCTTTTAAAACATTAAAAAAATGTGAGAAGTGCACCTTCTAAGAAAACCATTTTCGACTGGTAAGGCTCTTTCTAATCCGAAGAGGCCATATAAAAGTCGAACAAGGCGATCGGCTGAGAATATCGCTGCCGTACGAGCCAATGTTGAGAGGTCCCCAAGAACATCCCAAAAACGCCGTTCTCAGCAGTTGGGCATGACTCGGTTCACTTTACAACGGATTATTCGCATTGATTTGTACTTGGTCCCGTACAAAATTCAATTGACGCAAAGAATGTTGCCTGCGGACAAGCCTCGTCGATTGGAATGGGCCCAAAGAGTCATGGGTCCGTCGAATATGGGCAACCCTGTATCATTTCGGTAGCTCTCGACTATAGGTCAAATTGTTGAATAATAATAAATCTTTTACATTATATGGGAAATCACTGTCAAAAATTCTTAAAATTTCGGGCATCCCTTGAAACTCTGAATATTCTAATTACCTCTTCCACCAAAGGCCAACATTTCAAACTCTCGTTGCTGGAAAATTATTCCCATTCTCCATATTTTTTCGTCATTGCGAATTTCAATCAGAGTTAGATGGAAGGGGCAATTGTGAACTCTTTAAAATATTTTTAAGAAAAAGGAGGAGTACATAGTCGAAGGTTTCTACTAAACTACCATTTGTGATGTTTCAAGACATGTCCTATTAAATACTTATTGAGGAGTGTTATAGGAAATGAAATAGTTTTTATCTACATTATATGAACTTTCCCCTTCTAATTATTTAATTTGTTTTTTTTTTTTTTTCAGATCCGAAGATTTAGCAAAGCGTGATGATTGGCTAAGTAAAAACGCTGTAAATGTTACCATGAATTTACTGTCCTTTATTTTGCCAATGATATTTGAAGCGTTGGGCTTATTCGAAAATTGGCATCCGCGCCAACAGCTTCGATTACAATTGGCCAGGTAGAGTAAAATACTTCCGAATTACTAATAAAGAAACGTCATTCAACAATATTCCAAATACTTTCTTACAGAATTATGATCTTGAATTTACTCACCCTGTATTCGCTGATGTTTTCATTCATTTATAAAATTGATAAAAAAGAAGGACCACTTGTCGAAATGAAACTGCTAAATGATACGGCAACCGCTCAATTGGAAGATTTAATTCACAGGTGGGAAATCTATAGAAATATGACAGCCAATTTGAATGGCACCTCGGAGTTGGCAACAACAACGGAAGCCGCAATGCTTACAACGGCCAAGGTGGCAACAAAGCTGGTTTGTCGCAATGTAACAAAATACTGCACCAAACGGTGTCAGGGTGTTCAGGGATTTCCAACGACAGCAACAACAATGGCCACAGTGGCCACTACAACATTTCTGCTCTTAAATCTCACCACAACCACCGTGATGCCAACAACAACAACAACAACGGCGACTAGTTTGCTAACAAATGCTACAAGTCCCATTACGACTACCACAACTGAGATAAGTACCGAACCCCAAACAACATGGACAACATTACCAACAACAACGACAATGATGACAACAACTACTGAGGCAAGCACCATAACCACAGTAACGCCACCGGATACAACCCATTCTAGCAGTATGGACGTCACAGCGACAACACTCTTTGCCAACAGCCCCTTAACAACACAGGCTGCAACTGAGATTACAACAGAGGAATCTACCATCTCAACACCCTCGATAACATCAACCACAACAACAGAATATCCAGGCAATGATACACTCTTTGAATATTATGATTATTTTGCAGGAATGTCCTTGGAACGCCAACTGGCTGATGATAAACTGAAGGAAGACACTGAAAGCGAGGATAAAAAGAAACGGTCGGCAAAGGGCCACCGAAGAAGAGGCAAAAAGAAAAAGAAAAATCAAACAACAATGGCCCCAACGTCTTTCACAGAAATATTCCAAACAACCGTGGAACCCTACAGCACGAGTCCACCAAAGGTTGCAAAAAAGTCGAAAGGGAATAATAAAATTTCGAACATAAAAAGGGCCAAAAGTTTATCATTGCTGCCCAGATCAAAATATAGTCGAAGAGATATTGAATCAGACGAAACAACAACAGCAGACAAATCCACAACCGTTGAGAGTACAACACAAACCGAGGAGATAATGACATCGACGACCTATGCCACAACATTGCCCACCACAACAACCGAAGACAATACAACACCATATCCAACAACGCAGGACACTACAGCGGCGGTCACAACAACTGAAGGTAGTGCCCAAACAACAACACCAGCACCACCCATCACCACCACCACCAGCAAGGATATTCTTTGGGAAGAAAATACTCTTCTCAATGAAGTTTTAGACTTCTTTACCACCAATGCAACGACGCCCAGACCTCCCAGCAACACACTTCGACCTCAAGAAGACCCCTTAATCAACGATTTTACAACCAAACCATTCTTTGAAGAGGATAAGACTGTTATTTACAATCTCGAAGATATACAAAATGGCACGCTTTACATATGTTGGGACATGGAATGTACACCGGAAGTGGTGGCCGATGATGATAATCAAAACACTTCATTAGTGGCGAATATCTCAAGACCCATCACGATGTCCGAAGAATTTGAGAAAAATTATACGGAAATTATGAAAACATTGAAGAAAGTCGAATTGAGTTTGACCACAATGTGTTGGGAAACATCCTTGGGTCAGGAGTTGGCCAAAGTTGTGGTGCTCGATGGGGTAAGTATCGTTAAGTTTTCGGTAATAATAATAATAAAAATAACAATTTATAAATAAATAAATATAATAAAAATTATAAAAATGTATGGCTAAAGGCATTAAAATAAGTGAGCTACCGTTAAGAAGGGGGGATATACCAAACCTTGACCTATGTAGAAAATTTGCTATCTGAGGAGATAGAAGTGATTACAAACTTCAGATATAAAATATATCTTAAAAAATTTGTCTAAAATTATCAAATCACGGAATATCAGGAGGATCATTTATCTGGTGCGCTTCGCTACCCCTTTTGATTTTATATGCATTCAAAATTTTATATACGCACTTTTGTTGGTAAAAAATGAATAAATAAAACAAATTCAAAAATTAAAAAAAAGTTATTATTGTAATAATAAACAAATAGCTCCAAATCTGAACCGATTTGAATATAATTTGACAAATTTATTATTTTACCAAATTTAGGCACTCATGCCGAAGCATCAACTTTTAGAATAAGTTAAGATTTATTCGAATTGGTCACCTTTGGCACGAACTATGGTATTCAAACGGCCAATGAAACCGTCACACGCTCTCCGAATGTTGGTCTGCGGTATTTTGGCAAATTCCCGGTGAAGCGCTTGCTTGAGGTGATCGAAACTTTGGTATATTTTAGTGCCAGCCTTGCTTTCCAAAATACTCCCGACACAATAGTCCAACGGATTGCTATCCGGAGATTTTGGTGGCCATTGTGCGCTGGAAATGAAGCGAAAAACCTCATTTTGTAACAATTCTTGGGTGGCGCGTGCTGAGTCCTGTTGGAATGTCCAAAATGTATATGTAAGCTATATCCAAATTTAACTTCCCGATTTGGCAAATGTATGTTCGTTTTAAATTCCTTCACTCATTCCGAAATTTCATTGAAATTAGAGATACATAGCGTGTTCAATGTATCAAATACATGAAATCCGCCGAAAATATATATTGGAGCTATATCCAAATCTGAACCAATTTCAATATAATTTGGCAAATTTATTTTGGTTTCAAATTCCGTTACACCTTCCAAATTTGGTGACTATATCTGTAATCGATCAATAGATATGTGCATATAAAATTTAAACTTTTAAGAAGTACCTCCGATTCTGATTCTATGTCTCCGGTTCCAAGTGGAATTTCAAAAATCTGTATAGCCTATGTTACTTTCAGGCGATGTTGTAGTATACTTGGAAATTTTCAGAAAAATCTGTTCAGCGGTTTTCGGGTCCATAAATTACAAACAAACAAACATACGAGCATTTTCCTCTTTTATAGATATAGACGAAGAAGAAGATATGTAAAGGTGTACCGGTGTGGTAAATTTTAGTCACAGCCTTTGCGAAGGTTACATTGGGTCTATTGCACAATTTGCACCTCTACGAACAGTTCTTCGCCAACATGATTTCACTAATTGCTCGTTTGCAGTAATTTCGTAAAAAATGTAGTGATTTCTACTGACGGGCAGATAGACGAATCGACATTGCTATATCCACATAGCATCTTATACTGATTATACTGATTTGTGTGGTATAAAATGCTTATTTCAAGGAGACAAACTTAATATGGTGAAGGCTATAAAAATTATAATAATACATAAAATGGAGGATCCGACAATCAGACGTATTGCCACAATACAGAATAAATAATTTTCCTTGTGAAATCAAAACATGAAATTTCCGCTCATTTGGTTGGAAATTATGACAGAGAACTTCAAAATATAGAGGACGTTAATACGAGAACCCGAAATAACAAGTTTTTTGTTGAATTATTGGAATTTTAGGAAGAAAGAAATTAAGAAATTAATTATGTGAAAAACTACTAATTACTATTACTACTAATTACTCACAGTTGCATAGTCGTAGGGTATCATATAGTCGGTTTTTAATAAACAACGTCTGAGTAAATTATTTTTAGTGGCCTATACTTTGAGATTTGGACTAAAACAATTCAAAAAAGAAATCACACTATCAGTTTTGAATTCTATCACGAATAAATTTTTTCTGGAAAATTACCACCAAAATGCTTTAGTACACTTGTAAACAATATAATGAGCTGTCAATGGAATAATTTTAACAGCTGTCGGACTAGTGGCTTTGAAATGATAGCAGTCTGAAGTTGGTAGCAGTTTTTCATCTCACACTGTATATTCATGATGAGCATAAAATTCTAAATCGATTTAACGATATCCTTCTGTCTGTCCTTCTGCCTGTTGAAATCAAGATTCAACCCATATTATTTGAAGTAGAGCTTCAAAATTTGTCAGAACAATTTTTTTTTGTGTCTTGGATGTTTGGCCGTGAAAATTAAATATATCGGTCCACGATTTCTTATAGCCTCCACATAACGTTACCTACCGATATTCGGTATTTTGATGATTTTTACCACATTTTTTTAGGGGTTTGTCTAAAAATTGGTATTTGTAGTTTGTAATGGGTACTAACTTCTGTGGCGGAACATACATAGGTACAGGTTTTCATATAGCCCTCAGATAACGGTACCTCCCTATATTCGGTACTAATGGTCTATATTTTGAGATTTTGATTCTAGCTCACTCCATTTATATTAATAGGAATATTTTAAAAGTTAGGGAGATATGGAATTGTGGAACTTTCTTTCAACTATTGCAAAATATTTTTAAATATTCCCATATAAAGCTGAAGTTAGTGGACTTGTTTTTTATGTAATTAAAACCTTAAAAATGTGTTTCATTTTCCCCCATTTAATCTATTAGCTTTTCAACAATATATCAAATAGCCGAGTGCCAACACACCGAACAGTCTAAGTTCGTATCAAAGAAATTTCATCTTACACGGATATTAACAACAACATTGAAAATAAATTTTTCAAATAACAACAAATAACAACATTGCGTTATCGATTATAGCCAAATAATAGGGCGTTTCAAATACGTTGGATCCCAAACCATAAATTTGGCAAATTATGCGTAAAATATAAATAGTCCTTTGTCTATCTGCATGTAGAGATTTCCCAAAACGTTTAGTAGATATGGATGTTGTAGCCATATGGCTGTCTGTGTGTTTGCCCACACCCCACACCCTCGCTCCGATACAAAGACTGATGGAAAAATTGATATACAATAGTCAAGTTAGCTTGGAGGTGGCATGCAGACATTGGATTTCCTTAGTCAAATTTCACTACTCTTGCAAAATGCTGAACGCCTTAGATAAAGAAAGACTTCCTTTTTTGTTGACATTGGCTCTTGTAGCCCAAGGGGTAGCAAGTATTCAGCGTTAAGCTTGTTATCTTGGGAATTTCTTACACAATGAAGCGGAATTTTTCAAAAGACACCCCCTTGTAAACGAATATGAGTTTCCCGTTGGCCATAAAACTTGGAGTCCTTCACTTTATTGTAATAAGTTTGTATTGAATTTTTTTGGAGTTGGGGAACTAACAAAATTTAACGCTTTGTTTCGTAAATCTGTGACAGCTTGTTTTACATTGGATATCAATATTTCATACCCTAACATCATATCACACTCAGGACAATAGCAGAGGGGACAGACAGACCAGGCAAAAAATTAGAAAATATTTTAAACGATTACTTTGTTATCAATAACACAGCAATTTATTGCCTCTTGTGTAAGGCAATTTGAAATGGATGTTGATTTTTTCCTAGCTTGTCGTTCATGACAGATTACTACAAATTATTTACCCAAAGTGGAAAACAGTTTCATATGCGTCCACGCCGAGACCAAAGATCTAACAGTGGTAAGGAAAATGTTTTTTGTGTCCGCGGCAACCAAGTTCTTCCTTCATAAAATGACAGCAGACAATGAAATGAGGCTGCTGGATTTCGCGACTGGAAATATGCAAAAGTTCGTTAATGTCTGCAGAAATCATGATGTTTAAGATGGACGGCACACATCCTGTGCGTTGGGTCCGATCAACGAATATCGGTTTTGGTTATTTTTATACCCTACCCCTAGAAACTTTGTCATTCCGTTTGTAACATTCCTAAATATTTTTCGTAGACCCCACAAAGTATATATATTCATGATAAGCATAGTATTCTAAGTTGATTTAACGATGTCCGTCCGTCTGCCCTTGATATCAAGATGCAGCTCATGTTATTTGAGGTACAGCTTCAACAATTTGTATTGTGTCTAGGATAGTTGGTATTGAAAATGATGTATCGATCCACGTCTTCCTATATAATTTCCTATATCTGACATTTTGATGGAATGTATGGGCACACGTCCTCCTATAGCTCCCATATAGTGGCACCTCCAGATATTCGGTATTTTGATGGTATTAGTCACATTTTTTACGGATTTGTTCAAAAATTGATATTTGTAGTTCGTAATGGGTTCTAGCTCCCGTGTCGAAACATATAGGTACACATTTTTGTATAGCCCTCATATAATGGTACCTCTCAATATTCGGTATTTTAATGATTTTTAGCAAACTTCTCCACAGATTTGCCTTAAAATTGGTTCTAGCTCCGGAGACATGACATTGAATATCTAGGTCTACGTTTTCCTATAGCGCACATTTAACAATATCCACCGATATTCGGTATTTTGATAATCCTGGTCACATTTACCTACGAAATTGTTTCAAATTAGGTATTTAAAACTCGCAATAGATAAGAATCCTTTTATTATAAAATTGTCCTTTTTGGTATGGCTCCCATATTATTAGTATTTGTAATTAAAAAATTTCGTAATGGATACTACAGCCTACACGTTTTCGTATAGCCCCCATATAACGGTACCCCCGATATTCTGTATTTTGATGATTTTAGCGACATTATTCACCGGAATTGTTTCAAATTACATATTTAGAATTCGTAATGAGATCTACAGTCTGTGACAGAAAATTGTCTATGCAGGTCCAGGTCTTCGTATAGGCCCCATATATCAGTACCTCTCTATATCCCGTAACAAAAGAATTTATTTGAAGTAGATCATTCCACCTATCAACATTTGGCTTTAGAGCAGTTACAGTTGGGTTTCATAGGGAGGCAT